CGGCGGGAGCGGGGCCGCGCCCCCCGCGCCATGTCGGCCGAGAGGCGGCCGCGCTCGGGCCGCGGCGGCGAGGTAAGGGCGGCGGCAGCACCTGCAGTCCCCTGCCCCCTCCCCGGCTCTTCCTGGCGCGGAGTCGCTCTCCGGGAGCCGCCCGGGGGCGGATCGCCGCGGGCCGCGCCTCGGTGCCGCTCCCCGCCCCGGGGGCCGCTCACCAGCCTGGGCTGTGCGCTCCGGTTGGCCATACGCTTCCCCGGGCAGGGTGACTCCCACTGCTCCTCGGATCAGCCTTTGGGGATCAGCCTTTGGGGATCAGCCTTCGGTTCAGGACGGGGGGAAGAGTCCTGGAAGGTCAAAACCGCGGGCAGGGGTCGGTCAGGTTGGAGCACGGCGAGTCGCTTCCCACTGGTTGGGATGGGCAGCTCCAGACATTAACTTCCAGTGAGCTCAAGTGTGGCAACCTTCTCTCATTCAGAGTGGAGGGCCTACTACAAAGACAAGTGTACATCCCAGACACTGTAAGGCTGGGTGACCAGATTCTAACCAACAGTGGTAGTGTTATGCACATGGACCTATGCCCTAGTCAGGTTCGGCGGTCTTAGTGATGAGGCTACTACAGTCGCCATTGCTTCCTGCGTGTTTTGATGACATGGCAGTAAATATTTCGAGTTTCATTTCATTGTCCTTCCATGTATACATACCCAATTTAAGTCGATGGTAATTCAGAACAAATGGAAAGCTTGTCTTAATAAATTTGTGTTGTGCTAGAAACAAGAAGGCTATAAAATGGTAATTTCAGCCTTAAAATACAGATGTGCACAAAGTCATTATTGTTACATACATACATGTTACAGAGTTTGATTAACAATAGTGTTAGTATATTTATGATTTTTAGTTTGTACTGTTCAAATATGAAGTAAGAATTTGTATATTTGCATTTACTGCATTTTGTTTTAAGCAGGCTTCTCTCCTTTACATAACTGACCTTTGTGAGTGTTTCATGATGAATGAGGGTATTAGGTGACTTTTCAGAGCAGTCAGATGTTGCTTTGAATTCTTTAGTTTTATTTTCTCTTTATTTCTCCATTTCCTTTTGGTGAGCTTTGTTGTTTTGCATGTTTTGGTAGAAGAGAGCAAACACTTTCCAATGACAGTTAAGCTCAAAAGACTGAGTGTTTTTCACTTAATAACATTAATCTCCAAATGCATGTAGCCAAAAAACGTTTTGTTTCTCAGGGCATCAAGTTGTCAGCAGAGGTCAAACCATTTGTTCCAAAGCATGCGGCGGTAACTGTGGCATGGTCAGAGGCCTCAGAAGCATGTGTGTTTCCTAGGTACTTAACTACATGCTACCCATTTGTTCACGAACCATCTTTGGATAAGTATGTATATTTTCTGAATCTTATTTCTTGGGGGATTTTAACCTTCTGGTTTTGGATGTTGAGTACTCTTAAAACGTCAAGATTCCAATATATTGTTAGTCCAACTGTAGAAATGCTTCTGCATTATCTTCATTATTTAGTTTTTTACATTTATGTTCTCTGGGTGTATACCAGGTACCTGGTCTTTTGTTCACACTGTGTTGTTACAGTGTTAAGGAGAATTTGGTGTTCTGTAATGATTGGTCTGGTTTTTATGTGTTTTGGAAGGAGCTGAATCCAGTCCTTGGATGAAAGAATGGTTGTGTTGCAACCAGGCTGAGGTAGATGTAGTTGTACACAAGGAAAATGATTCTTCAAGAAGGTTTCTCATCCTGTAAAATATTTAGTGTATGGGGTGTCTCCTAGATCTCCTCTCCACAACCTGTGCATCTCCAGAAAGGCAGTTTTACTAAAAATGCTATAGGTTTCTGAAAGTTATGGGATTTTTCTGTTAGAGCCCAGGAATGGTATTTATGGCTGTCTTATAAAAGTATTTTATAAAGAGCAAACTAGAAAAAAAGCCTACATAGCAGAATAGGAAATAATTCAGTCTTGTAAGAATCCGATGATGTTACATAGTTCTCTCATTTCTTTTTAGGACCCTAAGCATTGGATTGATTATACAATTACTGCAAAGTTAATGGTGTTTCTTTAAAAATTCAGAGCATTAGTGAACACAATCATCATAGGCCATCATTTTATCCTACGGGAAATCTTAGTATTTTGAAAGGAAAATAGGAAATGAAATCCTATTTTCATTTGTACTGGAAATTTAACATTGAGCTGATTGTGGCCTGTTCTATGCATTAGAGGAAGCCCACAGCATTAGCATTGAATCAATTACTATAAAAAAAACCCACAACCCAGACAACAGTAGTCTTCTAATGAGTGTTCTGCCTTATTGGGACTGAGACATAGTTGTATTTGAGTCTCATTTGGTATATTTCTTCTTTGTAAACTGATTATAAGCATTGTTTTGACTACATTCTGTCAGAATTGCAACAGGTAGTATGAAGTGTGTTATCTGAAGTCTTTTGTACCGATGGGAAAGTTTCCCTGTCATTCTCTACACAAAATTCTGAGGTTGGCAACTTCATGGAGCAGCTTTAAAAACTGAGTGCAACTTTCTGAAACTGAGAAATTCTATTCTCCGTAATCAAATCTGGACTCTTACGTTTTTTCTGGACAAAGTATAGAAGGAAACTGAAAGGGAATTTTTGCATTTGAAAGAAAGAGGCATGCCCCAGACATGCTGTGTTTTTATAAAATGTGATGGTTACATGCAGGTCAGTTAATTATTGTTTTATAATTCTACATTGTATTTCATACATGTTTTATACTCCATAAAATGTTATACTTCCACTTTGTTATTGTCATTTTAAGACAGGTTTTAATGTTTGTTTTTTTTGCAGCCAAGTATGTGATGCATGTCATGTCCTTACACTGTGTTTTTGGTTTGTTTCACAAGAAAAAGCTTACTGAAAACAAGCTTGAAGAATCTCAGTAACCTTAAACAGGCATGAGAACTACAAGTGCAAAGCAGACTAGCTTTGAAACTTGGAAATGGATAAACATGTGTGTTTTAAGATACTTGCTTAACTATATGTTTTCCCAAAGCAAAATTAATTGCTTTTAAAGAAGTCTGTAGCAGTAAGGAAATAATTAATTGAAATAACATGGAATAGTTTTCTTTTGAAGTAGAGCTTTCTTGTTAAACAAATTCTTTAGATAAGGAATATGTTTGTCTAGGCAACAAGCAGGTGCTGAAGACTTGCCCCAGGATGACTTTCATTTCTTTCTCAATATCCATCACGTAGTGTTCTGGGAGATCCTGCCTTCCGTGAATACTCCAGCTGCTCTTACTCACCTGATGTTGTTGCAAATGTGTATCCAGTAGCTGGCTCACAGTATCAGTCTAACAACTCAACACACTATAATGGTTCAGGAATAGTCAGTGAATCTGCTGAACAAACATATCCAGTCAGACAAGAAAGCAAAAGTCTTTCAAAGGTGAGCAAATTTGTGTTTTCTTAAAAATTAATATTAAATTCTTACTTTAAATCAATCTTTATAAATGTTTGGTTAATATTTTTAAAGTCAATCATCACTCTTTCTTGTAGTGATTATCAATGACATTTGAAAAGGATAGTAGTATAGTGTGCCCAGCTTCAGAATACCAAAAAGTTTGTGGAATGGTACACTTCAGATGAATACAATTTTTCAAGCAGCATTTTTGGAACATGAGGGGAAATAATTTTTTTTTTCTCTCAGAAAGAACTGTCCAGGGAACTGGGGGGGATGAAGTGGGGAACGCTGTTCATTTGTGGGCTGTGCTTTCTCTTTTCACTTTTTGGGCTTGAGGGGAGGGGAGCAGGGGTGTTTTTTTTTTTTCTTAAGTCATGTGGCAGCTTCTGTTAACCTGACTTAAGACAGACCTGTAGTCATCTGTTTGACTGATAAGTCAAAGACCACATCTGTTGTTGAAGGATTTCCCAGACTTGCTGCAGGTTGAAGACAGTCCTCAAGAAAGGAGGAACTTGTGCTGCTGAGGAGAGGGAAGAAAGATTCATGTTAGAAATGTAATCTTTTTCAGTCAGGAATATACCAATGTTCTGTAAACATCTTCAGTCATTTTTGTCTCTTTCTATTTGAGGATAAATTTCCTGAAACTTGCAAAATATTTTCAAACAAAAAATAGACAAACCTCTCAAAATATAAAAGAGAAAAAACCCAAGTGTATTATAAACTCATTTCTCTTGGGGTTTAGACATTGTGTTTCTTAGATTTCTACAACTGCT